TATCTAGTACTCATAACACAAGCTTCAGCTAGCTTAACTTGGGTCTAGATGGCGCTGTGTGAATTGTCCTGAGAATATTATTATTACTAGGTATGGTCAAACAATTTCTTCACGTTCACAATTACGGCCCTCTGTGGATTTCCTGAATATAAAAAAATTAAACATGAGCACTACCAAAAATAACTTCCCTCACGTGATAGCTGTCTCCTGAGCCGGTGTTTCCATGAAGTTGAGATCATTAAATTTCCTTTCCTTAGGGAATACAAGGCTAAAAAAATCTTCTTTTATTTATAAACATATAGTTATTACGGTCTGAATTCGTAACTTGTTTTTTTTTATTATTTTATCATATGATAATGCCAGCCCCATCGTATTTTTTTACTAACTAGGTTTTGCCCGCGGCTTCGCTCGCGTTTAATTATCCCCTTAGGGGTGGAATTTATCAAAATCCTTTCTTAAGGGATGTCTACGTTATAGTAGCTTTATTCATGCAAAGTCTCAGCCCGATCGGTTTAAAATTTTCAAAGTTTCATACAAACTTTCATTCCCTATTTTATCCCTTTGGGGGTAGAATTACTAAAAATCCTTTCTTAGCGGATGCCTACGTCATAACATCTACCTGCATGTTAAATTTCAGCCCGATCCGTCCAGTGGTTTCGGCTGTACGTTGATAGATCACTATGTCAGTCACCTTTGAGTTATATATATTTATATATTATTTTCTACTATACAATGAAAAACAAAAATTTTGCTGGCGATGATACAGAATCAGATCCCGTTGTACATACAAACATCAAGCAGATTCAGTCCAAATTATGTCAACTATTGTAATTGTAATATGTAACTGTAATATTCAAAATTTCAAATAATTCAAAATTCAAAATATCTTTATACATGTAGGTCTATTACAACTATTGTGATATGTCAAATCTACCGTCAGTTCGGAATGATTTCGAAATGAGAAGAACTGACAACAAACAGCTCGTATTCTTTTCAAATAAATGTTATACATGTTTACAATAATACAGATTCATTTTTAAATTCAAACTTGGGAGAATAGAGTGACCATATTGAATGCATTATATACATATATATAATATGATATGAGCTTCTATTTATTATAATAATATTAGGATATATTAGGATACATATAAATGAGCCGGGCGCGGCGCCCACTCGCGGCACTCCGGACCGGCGCCGCGGCGGCGGCCGGCGGCGGGCGGACCCTCGGGCTGGGATCCAAACAATTTAATACTTAAAAATAATATTGACGTTATATTACTAATTTCGTGTTTTCTATTATTAACAGTTCATTTATAATAAATTTTACTTGAAGATTTCATGTATACTTAGGATAAATTTGTTTTGACAAATTATATCTTCGAAAATATAATGAAAGAAATTTAAAATGTTCTATTTCTATTTCACGTACAAATTTAATATATTTAAAAGACCAATTTTATTTCAAGACTAATTTTAATATCTTTCTATCGAACAGATTAACAGCTGAACAAATGATTAAAATAATTGGCACTTTTTTTCTCTTTAAACTCATATTTTTTATAATACACTAGAAGACTGGAGCATGCGTTGCTGTAATAAAATAATATTGTGACTATAAATTGAGATGTAAGCTATCCTATCTTTCAAGTTGGATCAAATTGCACACAATGTGCAAATCAAATTTGCAATTGGTTCATACGCGTAAAAAAAAAATTAAAAAATAGACACTCGGTCTCAAATACAATAACACCTGTACAGTAACTACACAGCACAGAGCAACTGTCGACTTTTTTTTTTATGAATCATAATGGTCGGTGCAGCCGCCTACGCTAACAGTTTGATGAGCACGAGGTCAGGTCAGTTAGCCCATCGTGACAAATTCACCAAGAATTTATCATGGTTGGTGGTGATGGTTTCCAGGGGGAACCGCGTGGAGGTCAACCTGACATGGTACATTGCTGGCAATAAGATCATTCATATTACTAACAAGCCCCTTTCCCCCCTAACAGTGTTATGACTTACGATATTGGAACTATTTGGAACTTTGTTATGAGCACCAATAAAAAAATATTGCGCAGTATCGAGTATATGGGTTGGTTTACATAATGGGTTATGCAATGATGTAGTGCAGCGGGGGGTGAGGGGTACAAAGGGATATTGCTTATGTAATTAGGGTCGCGGCGGTGTGTGTGTGTGTGTGTGTGTTGACTGCGAGCACACACAGGGGGGTCGCAGGAGGTGGCACCACTTCATTCTGCATTCATTGCTGTCCCAATATCCGCCGCGAAAGAGCACGTATCAAGCAAATTACAGCGGCATTTGGCGCAGAATCACTTATCAATGTGACACAGTATTCAGATATGTCATGTAGCGACCTACGTACTGTACACGGAGACAGGGAGACATTACATTACAGTAGTATAGCATCATTACACAGTATAAAACAAAGTCCGCCCCTAGGTATGCTTAAATCTTTATCACTACGCAACGTATTATGATTGATTTTCTTTAATAGATAGAGAAAGTATATATATACAATACATACACCCGTGCGAGTCGGGCGGAAGTCGGGGCGAATAGCTAGTTCATTTATATAAGTATTTGCTTAGTAATCATAACGTCATGGCTGGCATGTTAGATCTTGCGTTTGTACAATAAATATCATAAAATACATATTATTACATGTAGGTATGTTGTACGAGACGAAACTATTTTGACTTTATTTTGAACTAGCGGTTCGTCCGCGTGGAATTTAACTTTATTTTTCTAAAATAAAAGTAGCCTAAAGACTAAAAATTATTTTGTTCGTCTTAACTTATTCGTTCCATTAGGTACTGATAGGTTCAAACTAATACATTTACATTCTGCATCATCCCTTATTTTATCCCATCCCAGATTTATACAATTTTTCTTCCCCTATTTCATCCCCTTAGGGGTGGAGTTTATCAAAATCCTTTCCTAGGGGATGGCTACGTAGATATATGCATGCAAGGTCTCAGCCCAATCGGTTTAAAATTGTTAAAAAAATAATTATCTAAATTTCCCTAAGCGTGTAGCGACATTGGCTGCCTGTATAATTAGTTTTCTGTTCGTACGTAACTTGTATTTATAATAGATGTTGAGAATTCAAAAGTTCTGTAATTAATTCAAGACTGTCTAAGTCTGTACCTCGCGATAGTTGATAATCGTTAACTGTTACACTGCCAAACAAATTTACATAATCCTACATACGTATATATACTAACGGTATTCATTAATTTCTTGTCATTATTTTGTTCTTTTTTTATTATTTCGAGTCGAATATATATACATACAATAATTATGTATGTAAGAGCGGGGAATTGATACTGGACGACTCATCGTTATGACAAATAAATAATAAACACTTTTTCAGATCACAAAGGTGTATTCGTTGCAACGGTTGCGCACAGATTGAGAATTTATCAATTTTTCTTTCGGATTACTCTAATGCTGTTGACCGCAGCTGGCCTTTACAGCTTCATCGGACGATAGGGGGCGAGTGCAGATGGCACTCCAAACCTGCGGAAGGACTTACGGAGCGACTGAAGGCCAACTCCCGCCTGACGGATACGACACCCGTAACACAGGCTTTAGCTAGCTTAACTTGGGACTAGATGGCGCTGTATGATTTGTCCTGAGATTATTATTATTATTATATATGCATGCTCATTAATGGTGAAAGCAACACTAGACATATTCACATGTTGCGGAACCTATTCGAATGTGAAACTGACGTGATCAGTGTGTTAATAGTACGCCCCTACAACCGATCCCCCGTCCCATTCAAACGGAGTTCGAAATTCGAATCCATAGCGGTGCCCTCAGACTGTCGTCGTATCAGGCGGCAGTTGGCTTTCAGCTGCTTCATAAGTCCTTCCGCGGGTTTGTAGTGCCATCTACACTCGCCTATCGCCCGGTGAAGCTGTAAAGGCCAGCTGCGGCCGACAGCATTAGAGTAATCCAAAAAAAAAATAGTACTAAGTGTATCGTCTTTTCGCAGATTAATTTTGTTAGTTGTGTATAGAGAATGTAATTATATAATGAAAAAATACCTACCTACCTACACTGCAGTACGTCGGGGCGAGGCGGAATCCTTCGCAGACTGCCGCATGCCGCCGTTGTGGACAACTATATAAATCACTTTTTCCTATTGAGCTGAGTTTACGAAAACCGAGAATGGAAATGAATCTATTGTTGGCTTTATCCATATAGAGCTAGCAGATCGTATTGTGTGGATCATGAAAATGTATAATATTATATTGCAGTGTATAAATCAATACCTGTACCGTGCACTAAACAAATATCAATTTTTAGATGAACTGAACAGAGATTTATTTGCAACAAATTTCTGTTCACTAGTAGGCAAAAACTACTTAATATATGTACGTATATAATATTTGAAGTCTAACGTAATACAATCATGTTACTTGGCATTATGTATTCACAAGGATCTTTACTTCAAAATGTAAAGTTACATCATTTGTTTAAAACAGCAACCGGCAAAATTATTACTTTTTTACTTATGCTAAGACGGGTTTCTGAATTAATGATAGAATAATAAAAGGATATTAAAATTTGCTTACATTGAAGTTTGTTTACTGTACACTATTACGGTAGTACGATGAAACGTACATAACGTACTACCGCCATAGTGTACAGTAACTCCGATTACATTTAATTTAATTTGCATATATTAATGTGACGTTAATAATGCTATGTTAGTTGAGTTGTAACTAACATAGCATAATAAATATGTATATTTATAGACAGCCTCAGTGTTTAGCGGTGTAGCACACCTCTTTACTTCAGATGGTCTCGGGTTCTATTCCTCGCACGGTGCAAACATAGTATGATTATTTTTATCGGTTTGGCTATTTCCTATACACTGTGTATGTATTTACAAACGGTATTGAAGTATTAGTATCAGTTATCATCAGTGTAGTACGCACGGTATAGAGTGTATGTGTTTGTTGCAGTGTTGTCGTGCGGCGAGGCGAGCGGCGGCGGGGGCGGGGCCCGGCTCGTGAAGCGCTACGTGGGGCTCTACACGGGGCCCTACTTCGACCCCTCCGCGCCCAACAACATCACCACGCAACTCGGCACCCACGCCTACCTGCCCTGCAAGGTACTACCACCATAGCCAACATACACTTCTCTAGATGGAGGTCGAAGCTAAGTATTAGTAATGTCACTCATGAAACATTACTAGCAACGTACCATGTCAGGTTGACCTCCACGCGGTTCCCGCTGGAAACTATCTTGATAAATTCCGGGTGAATTTGTCACGATGGTCTAACTGACCCGACCTCTCTTATCTTATCGTCCTCCACTGGCGCCCCTCCTGCGCTAACGGTTTTCGCTGATGGGTGCACTACTTTATTATCATCCTTAAACAAAACATACTCGCAGTCTACACCACTCCTGTACCGTATGACAGCCTCCCTGCCAGCTGACAGAAACCATGCAATATTTCACAGCGGGGTCAAAGGAGTCCACAATACTAACAGCACTGTGGACCAACGATCCCATTGCTAGCAATGATGGTACATTGCTACCAAATTGATTTCCACGTGGAAACCATCGTGACAAATTCAGTTAAATTTGCCCTGGGATAACTGACATGACCCCCTGCTCATCTCATCTCCACTGGTGCCCCGCCAGTTTACCGTTAGCGCAAGTGGGAACACCACTCTATTATCATCCATTAAAAAGAATACTTTACTGCAATGTCTATGCTATCCATATAGACTCCACTATAAGAATAGAAATAAGGACGCTGCCACATCTCACCCATTCGTATACTCTGCTCATACGTGGAGGATGGGTCCTCAATATTAACAGTATCCCGTACATGATACTCAACAGTGATGAATTAAATAAATTTAATAGCATATCGTACATTAAATAGAAAAATTTCATTTTTAAAAATTAGCAGCTCGATTTACCTCCTTTTATATACGAGTAAGTCAATTAAATTAACCACGGCGTCTTAATCATTATCTAAATACTTTTAAAATCCTATATAATACTTCTGTGTACATTTAAAACTTTAAAGGAAAAAATAATTTAAATAAATTTAAAAAAATCTTAAAACTTCTTGTAAAAAAAAGTTCTTTTTGAATAGTGCCATTTTTCTATTTAACCGACGATAAGCTGGTGTGGTCACTCTGTTCTACCAAATTTGAATTTAAATGAATCTGTATTATTGTAAACATTTATTTGAAAAGAATACGAGCTGAGTTTCTTGTCAGTTCTTCTCATCTCGAAATCATTCCGTACTGACGGTATATTTGACATATCATAAGAGTCTGTAATAGACCTACATGAATAAAGATATTTTTGTATGAGTATTTGACTTTGAGTCAGGACATAGCGTGGCCCCGTGCCTGCTGTACTGTACTGTAACGTACCTACGTCCACATGTACTTGTACGCACGTGTAGTGCCGGTATTATGTATAATTATCTTAATGTACTGTCAGTTATGTAGGAGCTCTTGTTTTTGATAGAAACAAAGGATAATTGCATTGTAACTTGTGAATAAATAATAATAACGTACATACAAACAAACTGTAATTAGTAACTAGGTGGTCGGTACGCGTTCCCACGGCGCGACGCGGCGGTCCCGCTCGGCTATTGATCGATAGAAACTTTATAATTTTAGCCCCACAGATTCCACCTCGGTATTATTTCTGTTCAACTAATTAATTCTTTTTACGTCTGAAAAGTTTTAGTTGGACAAGCAACAGTTTAATGTTCAGCGCGGGCTGTAAATAAATGATGAGAGAGCGTCCATTGAGTCAAGACTATTCAATATTCATAATAGTGAACGTCGTAGTAGCACAATTTTATAATTTGCGGTCTCTACAAAAGATCCGCACATTGTGAAACTAAATTATATTATATGACTAGCTACACACGCGACTTCGTCCGCGTGGAATACAACTTTATTTTTCTAAAATAAAAGTAGCCTAAGTTACTCCTTATTACATCAGCTACCTACCAATAAAAGTCTCGTCAAAATCGGTTCAGCCATTTCAGAGATTAGCCAGAACAAACAGAAAAAAATTGAAAAAAATATTATGTTGGTGTATGTACCGTATATATATTCATATACATGTAGAAAAAAACGGTTATTTCAATATTACAAACAGACACTCCAATTTTATTTATATGTATAGATGTATAGATTATGTTTGTGTGTTTTGCAGGTGCGGCAGCTGAGCAACAAGTCAGTGTCGTGGATCCGGCGGCGTGACGCGCACATCCTCACCGTGGACCGTTTCACCTTCATCGCCGACGAACGCTTCCAGGCGTTCCTCGTCGAGGCCACGGACACTTGGACCCTACAGGTATACATCCTACTATGCGCTCCAGCCACGTAACTTCATGATAAATAAATCACGTTTTACTTCATCCGTCAATCAAACGAGCTGGATGACATGAGCACAACCTCGACGCTGGAGAATATCTGTACAATCCAACACTAAAACTCTGGACTACCACAACGCCCTCTGGTGTTACATACATTAAAAAAACCAATGGTGTTGGTTTTTGAACAAGCAAGTTTTACTTCTATGAAAATGCATTATACCTATATAAAAGAGCTATTACTTCTTAAATGGCCGGCAACGCACTTGCAATTACCATGATGTTGCGGGTGCTCATGGGCGGCGGTAATCATTTACCATCAGGTGAGCCGCAAGCCCATTTATCTATATAACAAAAAAAGAAATTGTCTATTTTGATAAAGCGCCATCTACTTGTAATGAGTTTTACTTAATAAAAGATCTATACAAAATAATAAACTTATCCCATATCTTTATCATATAAAGTATGTAGTGCAGCCCTCACGCAGTGCCAGTTATATGACTAACTAAAGTTATCAAAACCGTATACGTTAATTGTGTAAAGATTGTAAGCCAAATATTGGCATTTAAGCCTGTAAAGAAATATACACACGAAACAAAAGAACATTGTGAAAATAGCTAGGAGGCGGTACGTACCCAAGCGAGTCACATAAAACGTGCCACGAGTAAATGAATTATTGAATATTGCCACATCCTTTAAAAAAGGCCACGTATCAATTGCGAGTCAGCTCACGTGTCGCCTCGTTATGTATATTCCCAGTTTAATCCGATCTCGTCTCAAGGCAAATTCTCATTTACATGACGAAGACTGACTCCGTGGTCCGCGCGCCACGCAACATGTCGCCACGCACTTGGAAACGAGTTCACGATCACACAAACGATATTCAATTTGTGAATCGAAATATTCACAAACACCCACAAATATATCCTCTTTGCTCGCGAGCATATAAAGTTAACAGCATACTATCTACAATTCTCTACTGATATTTCAGAACTAAACAGTACAGTAACATGTACACGATATCCTTGTACATTTCGCACATCCCCTGTGTAAAAAGGCCGCAACTACACTTGCGTCAAAAATGTTTTATTACATAAATAAATCGAGCTTCACGGTTTACACCTTCTGTCAAAATCTCATGAAGCTATCGACAAAAATGAAGGAATAAATGCAAAAATACTAAAATTTTGCGACTTTAGAAAACATAAAATTCCAGCATAAAATAGAGGTATGCGTATTTGCATTTATTCGCTTTACAATTATCCCGTTCATAAAGTCATAATTGTATTTACGTAATTTTTAAAAGAAGATTTACAAAAAAATGTTTAACGCAAATATACTTAAATACTTGTTCCTATATCTTACAATCTAGGACTATTGTGTAATTCTAATGACTTACTTCTTCTACGAAACTTTTAGCTGATAGTTTATGTGTGATTATTGTTACATACTTTCCGCCCAGCAAAACTTCACAATGCGTAAAGTGTAGTTGTAGTTACTTCTTTATTACACGTAACATTTCATACCTGATGTTGGGTAATTTTAAATACAGCATGTATTTACAAGAAAAAAAAATAAGAATATGTTCATGTAATTAAAATTAAGTAAAAAAATAAACTATTTTTAGCTAATTGTATAAGCTGATGACGGGCAGCAATGATGGATGATAGGAGGAGCAGGAGATCAGATGAATTTGCCAGGAATAGTAATAATAAATGATAGAAAAATCGATCTGCTTTTAGACATTTATCATAGAAGAGCGAATTGATAGAAGTGTATATAAAAACAATAGATAAAAAGAATACTTCTACTTTAAATATGGATAAACGAATATACAATTGCCAGTGAATCTTATTGTAGGTCTAACAGGAATTAACTAACGATGGTTTCCAGGATGGACCGCGTGGAACTAAATGTACCTTATATTGCTAGCAATAATATTCAATATTAATTCCCACTGGTCATAATAGGTACACATACAATACTAGCTGGTCCCGCAAACGTTACTTTGTTATAAATTACTAGCTGTGCTCGCGTTAAATTTCAATATAAAATATATCCTGTGTTATTCAGATGCAAAGCTATATTAGTGTAAAGTTTCGTAAAAAATTCAGTAGTTTTTGCGTGAAAGAAAACAAAGATCCATACTTACAAACTTTCACGTTTAGAATATTATATTAAGATTAAGATTTTGAAAACTATTAAACTACTAATCATCATAATTTCAACTTGTCTATCCACAGTTGGATATAGGCCTGTCCCAATTTGGCTTTGGTGGTCTATTAAGCTCCCGATTTGACTCCCAATGGTCGCGGGTTATTGTAAACGGACGGTGCAGATATTTGTATTCATGAGTAAGATTGTTTGTGTGGGTCTGGGTGTTTTCTATGTATATGTTTCATGTATGTATATAAAAACTAAGTATTTATTGATATAAAGCTCTTCATACCTACATGACTAGAAGGCGCTGTTAATTGTTGAGTATTATTTATTTATTTCCCAATTTCTTACACCATGTGCGATCTTCCGCCTTTTGTTTCCATCGACTCCCGGTCACCTTCGTGATATCTTCGGTTCATCTTGCAGGAAGGCGCCGGACACTCCTTAACTTATATTAGAACTAATATCGCTATTAAAATGTAGGAGTTGGTAGAAGGAGGAAATGTAGGAGTTCGATGTATGTATTATTATGATTTTTTTATGATTCAGTTAACGATGAAGGTGGTCCAAATCGACAAGGTTGTCGATAACATACTAATAGACCAATCAAAATAAGAAGTAAACCAAAAATGTCATTGATCAAATTAATATGTTTCCACATAAAGAATCGCATTATCTCCGCAATCTAACAATGATAAATTCTAGATGAAAAGCATAATTGCGCTAAAATGCATCGTTTATACTTATAGTGCATTAAGTAAAACCCAGATTATGAAAATGTTACTCCAGCCTCTCAGAGATGGTACTATAATATTAGGTCCTTACATATGAAATTGGTGTTTTGTCGTACGGGCCACTTTGATCTCAAATATCTCCTTTCGCCAGGAATTCAAAGTTCAAATTAGTACAGTTATTTACTCATGCATTTGTTTTTCGAAAACCGTAATCCATATGTTTTTTCCATCTTTGGTGTTTTCTTTACGTCACTGAGTTTACAAAATGCAAAACATAAAATATCGCGTTTTTTAAGAGTACGAATTCCGTCGTGGCACCAGTGTGCAGAAACGACTCGAAGAATTAATGATGTGTATGGCGATGGTGTCGCAAAAGAAAACACAGTGCGTTTTTGGTTCCAATGTTTTCGTTCTGGAAATTTCGATCTGCAAAACAAGCCCTTCGTGAGCAGCCGAGTCCAAGGTTGATAATGAAGAATTAAAGGCTAATGTGGAAGGGGATCCATCGATAACCACGTCCGAGTTAACTGCAGGCTGCAGTGTTAGTAACAAAACTGTTTTAATCCACTTGAAGCAAATTGGGAAGGTGAAAAAAGCTTGAAAAAAAATTGAATGGAGTAAATCGACATATACGCGCGTAGACTGCTGCGTTATTAAAACGGCATAATAATGAAGGGATTTTAAATCGGATCATTACCTGTTATGAAAAGTATCTTGTATGATAATCGTAAACACTCATCGCAATGGTGTTCCTGCAAACTAACCAAATCCTGCCCCAAGCGAAAATTCAAACTCAAAAAAAGTTACTTGTGAGCACTTAGTGGACTAGTGCCTGTGTTGTTCACTTCAGCTTTCTTATATCTAGCCAGAATATTACGGCAGATGTGTATTGTCAGCAATTGCAAACCATGATGGAAAAGCTAGCTGCTAAACAACCGAGACTGGTCAATCACCGTAGGCTACTGCTGCTTCAGGACAACATTACGAAATTAGAAGAGCTTCAAATGTCCAATATATCCACCGTACTTCCCGGATCTTGCTTTCTTTCAAAATTTGGATAACTTCTTGCAAGGGAAAAAATTCAAGTCCGATTTATCGATACCCGTTCTAATGGTTTTTTAGTAAAGGGATCAATAAAACTACCTATCAAATGGCAAAAGTACATTAATGGCAATGGACCATATTTTGATTAAATAAATGTATTATATTTTGAAAAATCAACTGAAATTACGTTTTGTAAGGGAGTAATTAGGTTACTCCCTTACAAATTTCATATGTTAGGACCTAATATATTTACTACACGAGTTGGAGTAAAATTAAATAGATTTCGGCAGATCCTCAATGTCCGGGGAAATTCCAAATAAAATACGCATTCGCTGATGAGACACCAAATAATAGACAAATAGAAGGGGAAGAGTTAAGAGAAAAAAGAGCTGCACACAGCGAACCTTTTGAAATCAAGCATTAGTATGATGCACTGCTACCGATACCTAAAATATATACAAAGACTTGATGAATCTATATAAAGATAAAAACATACCACCACACTATCAGACGTTTTATAAGAACTTAAATACTAAATCTACGACTCAACTAAACTAAACCACAGAGTCCGATTCCAAAGTTGAGGATAATGAACATTAATAAAAATAATAAAAATATCACTATTTTGAACATTTTTTTATTAAGTTGATTATGGAGGCAATAAACATTTCTTTAAAAATAATAATAAATTAATAATAACCCTGTTTGTTTTCATATTCTCTAAATTAATTTGCCCCTATATTTATACTTTTGACTTACATGCACGCACATAATAGACTATTTACTGTAAGAAGTAGGTATTACATGATACAAATTAAATATTCAGTTACTTTCTGCATTATAAAAGCTATTTTTATAAATACACTAACTAAACTAAAATAAATGGCTCCCTAGAAATACGTAACTCGATGTACAAAAAATGATATTTCGTTAAATAACAACGTAATTATAGTTGCAATTCTAGATTTTAATGAAATATAGGAGAGTATAAAGGCGTAAGTAGAGTTAAATTTGTTCATATATTTAAAAATACATAACAATAAAGCGCGCCAATAATTGTAGTTACCCCTGCAAATGTTCTTTGTGTTCACGTGGAATACAGAAGTAACCGTGTTTTTTTAGATTATCTGGAAGTACATGAACCTGTTCCTAAATTAAATGACACATGTAGTTGAAGGCAACTGTGACCTACGATTTTCCCTTTGAAACTTATTTCTAGAACTCATACAAAAATATAGGACAGTTTTTTTAAGCTAAACCTGAAAAGTTGGTGAAAATCACTTACTTCCTTTTTCCACGAATGGTGCGATTTGTATTTGTTTCTGATAACAAATTGTTGCCAAATTAATATTGAAATAAACAAAACGATACATTCTATTTGTATGCATAATAATCGAGATATAATATCACATCGAAATTGGCCCTCAAAACACTACTATATAATATACATGTTTCATTGCCGATTCTAATTCTATATTCTAGAGTTTCCAACTGTCCTTTTTCCCCAGGACATATCCTAGTTTTTGAAGTGTCCTGGGAAATCCTGATAGTTATTTGTCCGCGTCCTGGGTTTTTAAAATATACGCGCCTGTTAATTTTATCAAATACTTTTTATTAAAAATCTGATTATATTAATGACTTGAATGTTACTACATATTAATAAAACTATTGCAACTCTATTACGGCGTTCTGTTTTTCAACTGGATAGTTCTGGTTTTTTGAAGTTTCAATCCTGGTTTTTTAAATTTGGGCTTGGCAACCATGCTCTATTAAAATTGGACATACAAAATATGGTAGGCATGTGATGAGAACTTGGAGTGCTACGGTATGTGGTAGCGATGTGAGCCGGTGTGTGCTGTTGTTGTTGTTGCAGGTGAAGTACGTGCAGGCGCGCGACGCCGGCGTCTACGAGTGCCAGGTGGGCACCGAGCCCAAGATGAGCCACTTCGTGCAGCTCAACGTTGTTGGTGAGTCCACTACACTCCACTGCTCTCTTGATATATGTATCTAACTTTTTACAAGTTCGACTTCTTTTATGTCCGTTTTTTTAAACTATTTTAATGCTGTTGACCGCAGCTAGCCTTTACGACAGCACCGAACGATCGGAAGCAAGTCCATATGCCACTCCAAAACACATGCAAGTACTTAAGGAGCACCTGAAGGCAATCTCCTGCTTGAGAGACTCCTCCACTTTACTCTGAGAATATAGCTAATATAATATTATTGGTTACTGTTATTCCTAAAAAAAGCAAGTGCAAAATTTGACACTTCAGGCTTCAATTACATTAGGTTTATGTTATATTGAAATATTATGTGTAATAACTGACAATTCATTAATCATATTGAAGTAGTTACATCAATCATCGCTAACGGTGTGGTTCTGGTGCAGTGCCAAAAATCGAGATCGTGGGCGAGTCGGACCTGTACGTGAAGGCCGGCAGCACGGTGAGCCTCAAGTGCGTGATCACGCAGGCGCTGGAGGAACCCGCATACATCTTCTGGTACCACAACGACGAGCGCGTCCTCAACTACGACAAGAGCCTCGTCGAGATACGGATGGAGCGCGTCGCGCCAGACACCACGGTACCTACTCTCCACTCCACTCCCTCCCTCCTTCCCTCCACTTGCACGGGTACATGATAATGTCCACGCCCGTATAGCACAATGCCGTTCTTCAAGAACCAACTAAAGTGTTGTGTTTCCCCATACACCAATTACCTATTCCATACTCTCAAATAGCACCTCATGCAGGCGACTTTGTATTAATATTTGTTTGTTTTAAAAATTTCTAAAAATTTTAAATAACAGTGAGGTTTGGAATGCCAGATATGAAACCTACATTTCTATATATTAGATACGTATCCTATTGTATCGAACATCAATACGACTGAGCGTTATTATATTGACGTCTTGTATTAACGTCTGTAAGAAAACATCATTTACTTACACTCAAGAAACGTCGTGAAATTACTGATACCATTTATTTGATTAAAGCATCCTCCGGGGAGGTACAGGTCCTGAGTTAATTTTAATGTAGCAGCTAAACTAACCACATTTACTACTCCTGTCTCCACCCTCTCTGTTAAAACAATTATATGCGAGGAGGCGAGAAACAGTTTCAATAAATTTAGTGGAATACATAATGAGTTAACAATACTTTATGTTACTTTTTTAATCAGTTACAACAGATATATATACAACTATATTATTATTAGCATTTCTACTTACTATATATTTAATATCTAGTTTTTAATAGATGTCACCATCTTAAGACACGTAAACACCTCTTGTTAATTTCTTTTCTAGATTGTTTCTGTCTGTAAAAACCTATAACTGGTTCCGATTGTGTTTATAATTGTGCCTGTAAATAGTCTTGGTTTTCCAAATATCAATAAGCAGGGCTTGTACATGTTTATATAAATCATGATTTTGCCACAACTCTATATATACTTGTAGACGATTGATTGGTAGATCTACTGCCAATAAAATTTTAAATCAGAATATGCACATGATAATGATCTGTGTGCTACTGTTTGCAGGTGGGCAACCTGATCATCTACAGTCCGCGGCGCGAGGACTCCGGCAACTACTCCTGCTCACCCTCCAACCTCGACTCCGCGTCCGTGGTGCTGCACGTGCTCAGCGGTAAACAACATCCATTTACATACTCATTAATGTACCTGTTGCGAGATATTATTACGATGTTGTTGGTTCAGACTCATCAGACAGTTCATTACAAATGATAGTGAATTGACGAAATGTACATAAAAATGTCGATCTTATATACTAAATAACAATGGTAAACGTATTAGATGGGGTGACACAGGTTTGACGCTTAGAGATAACGAAAACGTTAGTCGACATCAGCTACCTCGGACAAAGAATTAGTCTAGCTATTCAAATAGGAAACGCTGCCAGTATCTTCGGAACTTTGCCTAAAGGGACGCTTTTAATAATATATTTTAGTTATTATATTATATTTTTTAAGGTTTTTAATTTTGGGTTAGATATACATAGCATATTATATCTGACGTTAAAAGGAACCAACCATCAATATTAGCCATCTTCTGAAAGCAGGTTTTCTCTTCAGACGATGTTGTTGTGTATTCAATTATCTTTGTCTATACCGGACGAATTTCGAAGAGACATTAGTGTGAACGATTCGTACCAACTCTCTATGTACCCTTCTTACTCTGTAAAGAAGAGAATTGGTAATTATTGGTGGACGTGCGCACGTTGCAGGCGAGCAACCGGCGGCCATGCAGCACGGCAACGGCGGCGCGCGGCCCCGCCCCGCGCCCGGCGCGCTGCTCGGCGCCGCGCTCGGCGGGACGCTCGCCGGCTCGCTCGGTGGGACGCTCGGTGGGACGCTCGCCAGCTCTCTCGGTGGGACGCTCGCTGGGACGCTCGCCAGCTCGCTCGGCGGGACGATCGCTGGGACGCTCACCGCGCGAACATCGCGCCGAGCACTCCTACTCATCGCCGCCGCGCTCCTCTTTCCGTGAGTATACTTCCGGTGTTGCATCACCTGCATGGGACACCGCGCTGTTTAGACTAACCCACTAGGATTCCCCTACTGCAGGCGGTAGCCAAAGACGCGATGTGACTAGTAGGGCATCCATGTCACTCGCTTCCTAAACTGTAAGTCTATAGTGACTAAGTGAGACGAAACCGATGCCCTATGAATTGGTTTCCGGCAATTGTTTTCTAATGTGTCGAACACATTGATTAACTTTTCAATATAAATGAGTTAATACATAGTATTCAACCGGTTTCCAAGGGACGGTTAGCTATAAATGGTAGGGCGGAGTTACCACAGACAAATTAAAAAAACTCGTTTGATGTTTTTTTTTGTGAGCTATTCGAGGCTTCTGTTTATGTAGATCATAACACACTATACAAATTTACTTTAGATGAAACTATTAAGTCTATCATGGGTGTGACCATTACATTTCCAATATGATACCAAAAGTATTTTGGATGTAGTGTACTTAAAGATATTATTAAGAAATACTTATTGAATAGTCTTTGACTCTGTAAACGATTACATGTGTGGAAGACGACCACGTAGTCGTTCAGACAAGATTTTATACTTTAAATATACAGACAAATACAACACTTCGACAGTATTCAAAGATAAAAGAAAAGATGATACTGACTCACTAATAACTAACATAAAAATATATCAGTGAAGTTGCCAGATATCCTGAACTGGACTAGTAAAGATAGTGACAGAAATATTACGAGTACATGCACGAGGGGACGGAAGGTCATCATCATCTGCTTCATCCTTATCCCATTTATTTGGGGTCGGCGTAATATGTTTTTCGTTTCCATTCATCCCTGTTCGCAGTCATCGCGTTATTTACTTCCTTTCTTACCATATCATCTTTCACACAGTCCATCCAGGAATACTGTGTGTCCATCCAGGAAGGTCATACGTGAATAAACAATTTTAAATTTGAAATTGATTAAATTGTACATCACTTTATTTCAATTTTATTTTGGTTGTACACATATATATTTTAATTACAATTATTTTGTATTGTCGGTTATAAGTATTAATATGGAAAAATGTATTGCGATATTCAGAGTGCTGTGCCACGACGAGGAGGAGCCCAAATAGCGGGCCGCCGACATGTGGCGCGCCGCCGTCACGCTCGGGGCGCGTCATGCTCGGCACGCGTCTCGCTCGGGGCGCGTCATGCTCGGCACGCGTCACGCTCGGGGCGCGTCATGCTCGGCACGCGTCACGCTCGGCGCGAGTCATGCTCGGCACGCGTCTCGCTCGGCGCGCGCGCTCCTGTGCCCGCACCACGTCCGGCCACCGCTGCGCATGCGCAGTGAATCTAATATAAATATATTGTAAATTCTCAAATACTTATATCGATTAGATATCGGAACGATATGGAAGTGATACGATGTGGACTATTTGAAATGGTAACGGAGGAGCGACGAGATTGTTTGTATCGGTACTAAAGTTTATATAATTATGGGAAACAAACCGTGTACATAGAGGAGCGGCGCGGGCGGGCGCCGTCCCAGTTGTAAACTTGTACATATTACTATTAAATTATCACTATTCATTGAATACACCGCGACGCGGCCGCGGCGGGACCGTGACGGGACCGTGACGGGACCGTGACGGGACCGTGACGAGACCGCGACGAGACCGCGACGGGACCGCGGCGGCCGCGCGGAGCTTTGCTCGAATACTCTATAGCGACATCGAAATTACTTAAACCGTTCGTGTCCTAAGGACGTCTCGTATTTTCGCGATCTGTTAAACAGTACAAATATTGAAGGGAATTGCGTACCGTCTCAAGATAAATATTTCAAATGGAGGGCAATAAGTTTACTAGAGAAGAGAGCCGCGAGACCGCAGCGCGTCCTATGAATTCACTGTGTTATATTTTATTAATGTGTTAGTTAGCATTCAAATGAAAGTTACAATTTTAATATATATACCTACTTCTGTACGCGTAAAATTATTTTATAGAAAATATAAATGAGAGCGTTTAGGCATTCACGTCGATTGTGCTCTATATTTTAAATTAAATACTGAAAATAATGTATTCAATATTAATAGATTATAATAGCCTTATCGACGTTTTATGAAACTCGAGTGACAGTGGCGAGGTGCTAGTTTATGTTGAGTGCGGTCACGCTGCGGTCGCGTTGCGATCGTGCTGCGCTCGCGCTGCGGTCAGGCTGCGGTCTCGCGGCGGCTGCGGCCGGCGGCGGCCGTCGACGCGCGCGCTGTTTTCTTTTGTTATTGTAATAAATTTAGGAGCGCGTCGACGGCCGCGGTCGGCCGCCAATCGATCGTTAATTTTAATCTAATTATTACTGAACAGTGGTGCCGAGTCGAAGTTTGGTTCGTTAACACTGTTACTGCCTCACTTGTAAATAATAAATGTAAGGGATACAATTAAAGATGAGATCGTTGAAACATTACTCGTGGTATCATTACCTCCCTCGTCTCCTTACGACCCTCCCTCGCCGCTACTGCTGCCCGGCGTGTTCCTTCAGGAAGTCCTGCAGTCGTCCGCGTAGCGCGTAGTTGGGTGCGGCGCGGGTGTGCGCCAGCCGCCGCCCCGACGCCGGCGACGTCGCGCCCTCTGCGGCCACACACACACACACACACACACCCACACACACACACACACCCACACACACACACACACGCATACACTACTCAGCGTTGTACCTACTATTTTACCGATAAACTAATCTAAGTTAGATACAATACTGATTTCAACCGAGACAGCGGTCCTCGATATAAGGGAAATTATTTTGGTAGGTTTACTTAAATTTCTAGATTTAACTATTGGAATGAAATAACGATATCTCTCAACCGGAACACCATAACAAATAATTTTAAAACGTTTACGAAAAACGTTACCATAGAATACTTTTTTAGCTTGAATTATTTGGTCATAATCGATATCTCTAGAATTGAAAAAAAAATAAGTCCGGCGGGGGCGCGGCATACCTGCGATCAGCCACTCGAGGAGGTGGGCGCGCTCGTAGGAGAGACCGTCGGCGGCGCGCGCCGGCTCGCGGAGCACGCCGTGCGTCAGCGGACACAGCAGCGCGTGCGGCGCGGCCGCCGCCTGCACACACACACACACACCACTCACTACACTCACTACACTCACTACACTCACTACACTCACTACACTCACTACACTCGCGGAGCACGCCGTGCGTCAGCGGACACAGCAGCGCGTGCGGCGCGGCCGCCGCCTGCACACACACACACACACCACTCACTACACTCACTACACTCACTACACTCACTACACTCACTACACTCACTACACTCGCGGAGCTCGCCGTGCGTCAGCGGACACAGCAGCGCGTGCGGCGCGGCCGCCGCCTGCACACACACACACACACCACTCACTACACTCACTACACTCACTACACTCACTACACTCGCGGAGCACGCCGTGCGTCAGCGGACACAGCAGCGCGTGCGGCGCGGCCGCCGCCTGCACACACACACACACACCACTCACTACACTCACTACACTCACTACACTCACTACACTCACTACACTCGCGGAGCACGCCGTGCGTCAGCGGACACAGCAGCGCGTGCGGCGCGGCCGCCGCCTGCACACACACACACACACCCACTCACTACACTCACTACACTCACTACACTCACTACACTCGCGGAGCACGCCGTGCGTCAGCGGACACAGCAGCGCGTGCGGCGCGGCCGCCTCCTGCACACACACACACACACACTCACTCACTACACTCACTACACTCACTACACTCACTACACTCACTACACTCGCGGAGCACGCCGTGCGTCAGCGGACACAGCAGCGCGTGCGGCGCGGCCGCCGCCTGCACACACACACACACACACCACTCACTACACTCACTACACTCGCGGAGCACGCCGTGCGTCAGCGGACACAGCAGCGCGTGCGGCGCGGCCGCCGCCTGCACACACACACACACACCACTCACTACACTCACTACACTCACTACACTCACTACACTCACTACACTCGCGGAACACGCCGTGCGTCAGCGGACACAGCAGCGCGTGCGGCGCGGCCGCCGCCTGCACACACACACACACACCACACACACACACACTACACTCACTACACTCACTACACTCACTACACTCACTACACTCGCGGAGCACGCCGTGCGTCAGCGGACACAGCAGCGCGTGCGGCGCGGCCGCCGCCTGCACACACACACACACACCACTCACTACACTCACTACACTCACTACACTCACTACACTCACTACACTCGCGGAGCACGCCGTGCGTCAGCGGACACAGCAGCGCGTGCGGCGCGGCCGCCGCCTGCACACACACACACACACACACACACTACACTCACTCACTACACTCACTACACTCACTACACTCACTACTCTCGCGGAGCACGCCGTGCGTCAGCGGACACAGCAGCGCGTGCGGCGCGGCCGCCGCCTGCACACACACACACACACCACTCACTACACTCACTACACTCACTACACTCACTACACTCACTACACTCACTACACTCGCGGAGCACGCCGTGCGTCAGCGGACACAGCAGCGCGTGCGGCGCGGCCGCCGCCTGCACACACACACACACACCACTCACTACACTCACTACACTCACTACACTCACTACACTCACTACACTCGCGGAGCACGCCGTGCGTCAGCGGACACAGCAGCGCGTGCGGCGCGGCCGCCGCCTGCACACACACACACACACACCACTCACTACACTCACTACACTCACTACACTCACTACACTCGCGGAGCACGCCGTGCGTCAGCGGATATTTATAATAATTTTTATTCATGATACTGAGATCCATACTTGTACATAAGTAACGATAAACTTAAGTCATTTAAGAGTCCTCGTAACAAATACGAACCAAAAATATATCAGTCTGTCATATTTATTGCAAAGTGAACTGTCCAGTAGAGAAAAACATACAAATATCAAAATGTACTTGACTCAGTAATTAAATATGTCATACACGAACAAGAAAATCATAATACAGCAGTGTTATGTCTGCTGTATTATGAATTTCTTTATATTTAATTTCTCAATAATAACGGTTCAATAGTACCACGAGCAGGTTGAGTAGATAAGCATTGAAATTAATTGTAAAATGAAGGATACAGTTCAAGGACCGAAATAAAATATATAATACTGTTAGGTTGAGAATTGAAAGGTTCTACTCGTATCATTGGAGTATTTCAAATAAATATAAATAAACTGCTCATACCATATGTCTATGTATAATTGTGCACTGACCAGTTCCGGCGGCGTCGGTCCACGACGCAGCCACTTCAGCTCGTCTATGAGACGCTGTCGGATCGTCTCCTTCTCATCTTCATCCTCTTTCTCTGGCTGCTCATCATCTGCATCTATCTTTTCACCTATTTAAGTACATAAAGCGGAAGGCAAACATTTCAGTATAATTCAGTGAACTACTGAGTATTGTTGAATTTATAATAATATAGTATTACCGTAACCAAATTTATCAAGCAATTCCTCGATGGTGTCATCGAGCAGGTTGGCTCCCGTCACGGCTGCTTTTCGAACCTTTTGTACGAGTCGAATTTCTATGCCACGAGGCTCAGCGTGAGATTCTAAAAAAATTACAAAGAAAATATGAAATTTTGGCTTTGTGGCGAGATATTGCATCTCTGTGCATTTTCTACCGCATATATCACGGGGAGTGTTCTGAGGAATTGTTCGGATTAATACCAGCTGCTGAGTTTCACCACCGTACCACCCGCCAGAAACTGAAATACCATCCTGATCATCTGGATGAATGGTGGTCTTCCACAGTGCGGTTTTCTAGAAACTTTTTGCCTCGCACAACCACATTGTGGAATCACCTTCCAGCAATGGTATTTCCGAACCGATACAATATTGAAACCTTCAAGAAAAGAGCTATACAACGAAGTATGATATATGATATATGTTAATTACAATTAACACGGCTAAGTAGATTTTATATACTTCAGTTCGTAGACTTTTTAAATTTGTAGTATTTTTGTTATCACGAATAAGAAGGACGGAAACTTTTTAGATTGATATGAAAAATATTATATTTTTTTAAATATATTCGTTTGAGTTCGTATAATGAGATTCTCCCAAACATGTATTATAAATTTTAATATTATCCTCCATTATTATCTTGTACCTTCTTAATATATCGTGTAGGTATCTGCGCGTCTAGTACATCGTGTACAGTCGTTCGGTGCTCGCAGCGCGAGTCGTATTTAGTAAAGGAGGTGAGCGATACCGACCGGCGGGCCTGGTGACGTACTCCCGCAGCCAGCGCTCGACGCCGGGCGCGGCCCACCAGCGCGGCGCGGCGCCCTCCTCCCGGTCGCGGTCGCGGTCGCGGTCGCGGTCGCGGGCGGGCGCGAGCCGCCACAGCGCCAGCTCGCCGGCCAGCGACCCCACCGCCAGCAGCGCGCGCAGCGGCGCCGCGGCCAGCGCGGGCCCGGCGGCGGGCGCGGCGGCGGCGGCGCGCACTCCCCCCGCGCCCCCCGCACCGCCCGCGCCCCCGCGCACCGCCCACGCCCGCGCCCACCCGTCCGCGCCCGCGGACGCCAGCAGCGCGCCGCCCGCCGCCCACCGCACGCTCGCCGCGCCGCCGCCGTGCGCCGCGAACTCGCGCGCCACCCGCACCCGCGCACCCGCCTGACGACCGACTTCATGTGACCGACGATCCAAATCATAATCAAACGTTTCGTTATTATGATGATTATTTTAGTGACGATAGTTTTGAAGAGGATGCTGTCGATTATGGCGATAGTGATGAGGTCGATGATGATGATGATGTTGTAGATGATGAATGGCAGCCATCCATTGTGTAGTTTTTAATGCTGATTAGCAATTGACGCGATCACGATTACTATCATAATAATTCATTAACGTAATCACAATTACAATTAGTTTTTTAAAAACTATTATTTTGCTCATAATTACTTCAACCATAATTAGTCTAATTAATTTGATTTAAGTCAATCAAATTAATTAATTTATAAAATAAATACTCGATAATATTGTGAACCGTGCTAGTTGTGGGCGTCGTGTCGGTTGTCGCCGTTACCTGTTCCAGCGTCACCACCCACAGCTTGATGAGGGAGTCGCCGCCGGCCGTGGCCAGCAGGTACGAGTCCCCGTCGTCCGGCACGCCCAGCGCAGACACCGACGACGAGAAGTCGCAGCTCTGGACACCTGCGTCCAAAACGAGCACGACAGAGTCAAATGACACCATGAGGAATACGAATACTCCCTGTGTAATTTGACACTGACTCCACAACAGATCTTGTGTAAATTTATTTAGAACAAACAGTTACACATTATATATATGACTCCTATTTACTAATAAATTTTAACTTGTTGTGATCTATAATTATAACAAATACTGTCGTTTTCTAGTTAACTACTGCGTTTATAAGATTTTATTGTGTTTAAGTAAAAATTATTAATAAAACGAATATATTTATCAATTTCATGTTTATTTATTCTGAGACGACTGTTTCCTGTGGGCACTTCACAAATAAAGAATTTGAATTATAATTAAACATTAAAAGTCTTTGATTTACACATTTAAACGAAGTTAATTATTAGACGAATATTTATGTATATAAAAATGATGTAAAACTCTAAATAATTTGTAGTTCCTTCCATTGTATGCCGTAATAATAAACTTATTAAATACCAAAGAATGTAAAAATAGGCTGATAGTTGTTGAAGATGTGGTGTTACATGCATACAAAAATATTGCCCTTACGACTGTTTTTTTCATTTGAATCATAATAATAAGTTGCTATTGAATATATATCGGTGAACCACTGATAATAATAATCACACAGTCCATCTAGATCGGCCAGACAAATCATATAAGCTGTATCTAGATACATAACATATATAGAAAACACCTAGACCGGTACTGATCATATTTGTGAATACAAATATTTGCACCGTGCGACGAATCGAACTCGCGACCTTCGGAAGAAAATCGATGTGGTGAACCGCTGTATCAGCGAGGCATACAACCTTACTCATGGTACATGCGGAGTGTGTGGGCGGTGTACCTTGGTCGTGCGCGTGCGGGCGGTGGTGCAGCGTGCGGGCGGCGGGCGGCGGCGCGTGCAGCCGCAGCTCGCCGCTGTCGGAGCCCGTCGCCAGCACGCGCCCGTCGCACGACCACGCGCAGCACGTCACCGCGCCCACGTGCCCGCCGTACACGCTGTCACCACAGAACACGACCTTGTTACGTTATGATACAGACACCTATTACAATATTCTCACAACCAGCAATAGATGGCGCTATTTGTTAATTTAATAAATTTACAATGGTTTCGTATCTCTCAACAATTCTCTCGACTTCGTCCGAAAGTCTTCTTGTGGGTGAGTACGCGCGGTGCTGTACATGATTTACTTACGTCTATGGGTGATAATTCTCTCTCTCAGTATGGTTTGCTAGGGCCAACAATAAAAGATATTAATAGAGAATACGCTGCTGAAATAAACTATGACCCAGTGGAACTAGCTGAAACTTTGAGAACCGGGGTCTGGTATGAATGTATTATGGCACATCGAAAAGCAGTAGAGGTGGTCGGTACAACCCTCTGGAGCGACGTAACCATGCTGTTTTGCGGGGATTTTAAACAAACGTTGCCAGTCGAACCACGAGGATAGGCTACGAAGAGCTATGGCGAATCGATAATAAGGGTTATTATTTCGCCCAGTCTGTGTATAATTTCATAATTAATTGACCGAATTTCACAAATGAGGTATTATTGCGAGCATTTCGATCTTTGGCTGCTTATTGAATATAACGCCCTCTAGTGATAAAATCATAAATTACCGAAATCTCTTTAAAAAAATTGACCAAGGTAGCTTATAAAGTCATTAGGATGTGTACCTCAGTCTCATCTGCTTCAAGCAACTAGCAGCTTGCCTCGTAAGCTGTGTTTCGGTGGAAAGGTAATAAATATAGCTGTGAAACTACAGGATACGAGGCAGGACACACCAGTCCTCTGAATGGCAACGGACGGGCGGAGTCGCGGGCGTCGCATGGTAACGCGATGTCTGTAATGATCATTATGTATATAGACGGCGGCGACCACCCATCATGGAGGAGGCCGTCAGCCTGACATGCTCTTAGTAAACTTTATAACATTACATAATTAAGATGACTGTGCTCGCAAGCGTCGGTTTATAAAGGATAATTTCTGACATCAGATCGGCCGAGACGTGAACCAAAAATTATATTACTACAAACCTACACACAATACACAATACAAAGTAACACACAGTGTAACGCACTCTACGAGATATGACACAAGATATATTCTAAGCGTGGTTGGGGTGCGGTCAGGGAGCGAGCTGGTACGTGGTGGGTGTAGCATGTGTACAGGTAGCACACTGTTGCTGTATTAACTGTGACGGCCTGGGGTCCGAGTCGGCGAGGCTCCACAGCAGCGCGAGCCCGTCGTCGGAGGCCAGCAGCAGCTGCGGCGGGCGCTGCGGGGACACGCGCGCGCCCCGCACCCCGCCGCCGCCCGCCTCGCCCTCGCCCGCGCCGCCCCCCGCCCCCGCACCCACACCGCCCGCCGCCGACACGCACAGCGACCGCAGCACGCACCCCATCTGCACACGACACCACGCCACCACTCCGCACTGTTAAACGTACAACTCCACCCGAGTGGGGAGAGGGGATCGTTAGTAACGATGGGCGATCCCATTGCTAGCAATGTACCATGTCAGGCTGATCTCCACGCGGTTCCCGGTAGAAACTATTGCGATAAATTCTTGGTGAATTTGTCACGATGGGCTAACTGACCTGACCTCATGCTCATCTTATCATCCTCCACTGGTGCCCCGCCAGCGTAAACCGTTAGAGCAGGCGGGTGCACCATTTCATTATGAACCTTAAAAAAATAAACTCCACCTCAGTGAAGTATGTCCATCCAAGCAATGAAGCGATGAAAGCCTCATGTAGGTCGGATAGCCGAACGATAGATATACTGAAATAATTATGAGGAAATCTCATTTTAACAACTAATTATAGCGTTAATGGTATTGACACATAAGTATTTGTCTAATAGACCCCGCGCCAGGGTCTAGTTTCGTCAATAATTTCCCCCCGTTATAGTAAGTTTCCCCATGTTATAGTAATAATAGTTAGGGTAAATGTATTATGAAGCCTAGAGAACTTCAGCTGAGGATACAAGCGTAAATTGAAGAATAACATCTATTATTATAAAAAAATGATCTAGACATTTTTTTTATAATAATAGACCTAATGCTCTACTCTATAACTTTAAATTTATCCATTCTATTCCATTAAAGTTTATATCTGTTCTTAGTTTTGAACAGATTGTCTGTTTAATAGATGACGTTATACAAAATATAAATAAAAGCAACAACAACTTAATAACGCTGTTTAATTTTTCAACAACGCCATCTAGTGAGTAGTGGTCAAAATAATTAGACAAGAACGAATGAAATTATAGTATTATAAGGTCTATTTCTATCAATAATTTTGCAGGATAATAATACTATGTTGTCGGTTGAGACGTTGTATATTACAGATGATAATAGACTGACAATATGTACATAAAAATATTGATCTTATATACTAAATGACAATAGGAAAATGTAAGGTGGGATGACACAGTTTAGACACGGCAGTGCTTAGTACACAATATTGAATTAGTCTTACTAGAACTATTACTAATTATTAAATGCAATTATTGTTATGATGTATCTAGGCAACTGTGGCCCATAATTAACATGTATCTATAAAAGCAAGAACAACTTACGACTACATTTTGTACAACGCCATCTAATGAGCAGTAGACAACCTGATAAATTAATTTCAGAATTAAAAATGGATATAAAATTTAAAAAATATATAGCTCATAAGGTCTATTATTATCAACAAAAAAAATCAGAAAAATCGTGAGACAGCAGTTCTTCACGCGACCTTCGGGTCCGCAGCTGACGGTCACTAGGCATCATATTATTATTACTACTACCTTAACTATTCAACAGTTCAAAGTTTTCAACCGGGAGCAAATAGGTCACATTCACCCGTTGCTGGCTCACGGCCATGTAGGTGTGATGGCTGGTACCGTGGAAGTGGTGGTGGGTGGAGTCGGTGGGGCCGGTGTGGTCCGTGTGGGGGCGGTACCTGCACGTCCCAGAGCGCGGCGTACCCGTCGAGGCCGGCGGACAGCAGCAGCGCGCCGCCCGCGCCGAAGTCCACCGCCAGCGCCGGGTACCGGTGCGCCTCCAGCGCGTGCTGCAGCACCAGCTCGCCGCCCGCCTCCGACTCGCACCACCGGAATATCTTCACCCACCCGTCACTGCAATGTGTATTCCAATACCCAACCATGAACCTTTCTATATGGTTCCTTAGAAGTTAAGTAGAGAATTCACAGAATATTTATAACCAAGTATAAAATATCTTTAAATTTTTGTAAGCATTGGTGATTGCTATAGAATAGAATAGAAAATTGTTTATTCAAATTCAAATGTAAGTTACATTAAAGCACTTTTGAACAGTTGTCAGTCTTTTAAATAATTTAGTTGTAGAGTTGAAATGTGTGAATATTTACCTGGAAGCCGTGGCTAATAAATCATCGTGCGTAGCGATACAGTTAATGGCTCCCGTATGGGCCTCAGGGTCGTGCCACACTCGGCAGGCTCTATCGCCGTCCGCTTCTGGTATCCGATCATCGTCTGTTTCGAAATACGGTTCATCCCCGTCAACGGGCTCTATCCCCTAAAAATATTTAATACATATAATGAACCTTTTGTTCTAGAGATAGAATTTAATTTAGTACGGTAAATTAAGTTACCTCTAAATCCCCTAACCCGAAATGCATTAATGTTGGACAAGGTGGTTCTAGTTCATCATCTAGAGTTAATTTCCCCAAAGTCCACATGCGCACTGACTTATCATTTGAACCTGTGAAATAATATATTTTTAATGTGAGTAATTAAAAAAACCAAAAATACTGATTTATGTGTCAGATTGTGTGACGATTGCGGCACCTGTGATCATATATCGTAAATCATCCGAGAGCGATATACAAGTAAGGTATCTGGAGTGGCCGTGTACCACATGCAAGCAGTCTCCCGAAACCGGCGCCCACAATCTCGCCGTACGATCCAACGACGACGAAACTAGTATCTCATCGTCTTCCCTCGCTCTGCACGACCATCTCAACGCCGTCACGGCGGCCGCGTGTCCCTCCAACACTCCGGCGGCCTCCATTCCGCTCGGTCTCCTACCCTCCGGCCCCGGAACCGCCCGCCACAGTCTGATCAGAGAGTCGTGTCCGCCGGTAGCGGCCAGGTAGCCGTGCTCGGTCGCGTCCGCGCACAGCACGCCCAGGTCGTGAGCCCCGTCCACCCACGTCAGCGGAACCGGCGGCGGCCCCTCGTCGCCGGTCACGCCGCTGTTGCAAATTTCTGTAATTTCAAATGAATCACTCGCGTGCCTCAAAATCGAACATAACTAAATCGACCTCTAGCGGTATCGTCGCACCAATTAGATCGAAGACTTTGAGCACGCCCTCGGTGCAGGCGGTGAGCAGCAGCGACCGTCGCGCCGGAATCGAGACCGCCTGAAGGGATCCCTGGTGGGCGAGGAGGCGCGCGACGAGGTCGCCGCGCGGCACGTGCCACACGCAGAGCGCGCCGTCGTCGTGCCCGGCCGCGAGCCGGCCGCCGCCCGCCCAGCAGAGCGCGCGCGCCGCCGCCGCGTTGGGCGCGGCCAGCGTGCGGCGCGGCGCCAGCGAGCGGCCGCTCCACACGCGCAGCGCGCCGTCCACGCCGCCGCTCGCCACCAGCGCGCCGCTGTCGGACCAGCGCGCCGCCGTCACGCCGTAGCGGTGCGCGGCGCGGACCGCGGCCGCCTCCTGCCACCCGCCGCCGGCCGCCCACCGCCACAGCCGCAGCGACTTGTCGCCGCCGCCGCTCACCAGCCTCCCTCTGACCGCGTCCACACACGTCACTTCGCCGCGATGTCCCCGCAACGTTTGCAGTAATTTTGGTTCGCTAATTATCTCCATATCTGACTTTTGTACTTTTTGTTTGTATTATGAAATAAAATTATAAATTGCTCGACTCGGTCTCGAAATCTATGAACAGGAATCACAGCATATTTCAAATATATATTTTATACCGTACACGTATATGTACGGTACAAAAAACATTTTATTGATAAGTAAAATCATCTTGTAATAGTTACTAGGCGATTCCATGAAATGCCCAAACTGATATATTAAATTGACTATGGAGAAGCAAAACGTTTTTCTATAGTTTATTAATGTCTCTACACAGAAACCACTTCTTTATTCCCACAAATCCGAGACACATATCTTAGACAGAAAAAGACTGGTGTGTCCACGGAGTGACTGTATAATTGTGATGTGTGCGTTATAGTGGTAGTAATGTACATACTACGTACATTGTGACAGTGGGTGGTGTGGCCGCTGACGTGGCCCTCACTGGACACCGCGACGTCGCACCACGTGTATCGATCTGCGGCTCACTAATCACACAATAATAACGACATTCATATATTAATGTAGTAATGGACGCGCCCGTCACATGAACTTGAACACCGACCATTGCGCCGATACAACTACGATCAATATACCTATATGGATATATTTATTTGACAGTAAAGTTGGTGGTACAATCACATAAACATTACTATTCGAGTAAAGAAGGAATATACTAGCTCCATGACCATTGTACTGTACGTCTAAATCGCTATTGTCCTCTGTAATGTATGTACGTAAGTATTGCAAACAGTTGGCCGGCTGGTGGTACGAGACAACCATGTACAGCACCGCAAACATCGCCGCGACATATAACGCCCGCGACGCGACGCTCCAATGTCTGAATTACCTGAATTTTACAAATATCGGTAGAAGGTATTGTTATATAAGTGTTTTGATTATCCGTTGGTTGAGACGTTATGTTATGAGGAAATAATGAACTGGAAAAGGCAAGAAGTTTAGTACTTGAAACTGAATTATAAAATACTCTCTTATAAAATTTAAAGATCATTTATAAGAGAGTTTTTTTTTTCATAATATTTTATCTACCGTCCAGTTCAATATACAAATCCAATTGAGAAGAACTAGCAAGAAACTCAATTGAACTACTTTTTTTTTTCTTTTTAAATGCCAGTTTATTTACAATGTATATTTATATAGGTGTCTATGTCTAACATTAAATGAAAATCCCGTGCATGAACAACTATTGCCATGCACGCTCGTCATTCAAGTAATCGTTTAGTGTGTAATAGACTTTGCTCAGTAAATATGATGTAACGGATGTTTTGAATTTATTAAAGGGTAATTCCAGTATATGCTTTGGTATTTTATTGTGAACTAGCTTTTGCCCGCGGTTTCGCCCGCGTTAATTTATCCCCTTAGGGCTGGAATTTATCAAAATCCTTTCTTAAGGGATGCCTACGTGATAGTAGCTTTATGCATGCAAAGTCTCAGCCCGATCGGTTTAAAATTGACAAAGTTTCATACAAACTTTCATCCCCAATTCTATCCCCTTGGGAGTAGAATTAATCAAAATACTTTCTTAGCGGATGCCTACGTCATAACATCTACCTGCATGCCAAATTTCAGCCCGATCCGTCCAGTGGTTTGGGTTGTGCGTTGATAGATCACTATGTCAGTCACCTTTGAGTTATATATATATATTTTGTCTTTAAATCTAGTATTAATATTATGAATATTGCTGTTTTTTGGAAATAAGTAAAGATTTTTGTGTATATATAGAACTAGCGACCCGCCCCGACTTGGCACGGATGCAATGTTGATACTAAATATACGTACCTACTACAGAATATCATTATAAACAACATTTTTATAATTAGACATTAGAAACACGTTTTGTTTAGAGGTTACTCTTCTGAGAGCCACGCTCACATCTAAGCCTGCAACCACAGATAACATAATATCCTGCAACGTTGAAATGTTGACCCTACGATCCCTGCATTTTTAATCTGTAACATCTTGGAGAATATTCATTTAAATTACATGCTGTAAGGCCACATTGATCTACATTAAATGGACAATGTATTTAAGGTATTTAATTGGATAAACAATTAACGCTGTATTGCTTAAACTAACTTCGTAAATAAGCCATTTTCACGTAAAATGTAAAGGATAAAAAATAATGATTGTGAGTAAGTAGTAAGAGATAGACATATGTATATGCACTGTCGCGGACTTTGTTGTTGACCTTTTTAAGGTAATACTATAGTACATTATTTTGATTTATCTCGTGTGGTTCAGCCAGCGTTTGCAATGTAAGCGCCAAAAAGTATTTTCTCATTAGAAACCTCTATATTTATCAGTGTTTTTCTACAATATTATGCGTGCATTATATATAAACCTTTCTCTTGAATCACTCTATCTATTTAAAAAACCGCTTCAAAATCCGTTGCGTAGTTTTAAAGATTTAAGCACACCTACATAGGGACGGACAGACAGCGACAGCGACTTTGTTTTATACTATATCATGATGATAATGGTGATAATATTTGAATATATAAACTGAGAAGCAACGCTGAGTATATTTGCCTCTTTGAATTTCCCTCTTAATGAGTCACGACTCTTCATACAGTAGAGATCTGGAATGGCACGTTTTTGTAATATGAATATATTTTTAATATCTGCCGCTTTTCCCCATAGTAATATTCCATAAGAGAGTAAACTATGAAAATAACTAAAATAGACCAATGTAGCAGTATCAGTATCTGTATCAGTGTACTGTCATCTAACTTTACGCACGGCAACAGCTGCTGAACTCAGTTTCGCTGCAAGGCTTTAAATTTGTACACCCCATTGTTTTATTATTTATATTTTGATCCATTTTTTTTTTTTGTTCTAAACAAATTATAATAGATTTGTCAATAATGCCGAGACATGCAATTTCACCTCATAATGAATTTCACCTCATTATATTTCTTTTAGTACCTAATCAAATATGTGTTCCAGTAGTGTTTGCGCGTGTTCTAAAAACTTAAATAAAAAAAAAATATATAATGAATGTTAGTAAGCCGCCACACTGCTTCTTCCCGCCCCCCTTCCTCTGCTGTATGGACTGAATTATGATTCGCCGCCATGTAACGAGTGAAACAACCACCGCATGCACCAATAAACAACAACAACTCCTTAAATATTAAAACAAACTGTATTAGTGTCGCGAGTGTGCTGTAATGAAATTAAAAAACTCAAGTGCTTCAAGTCATATCATACAGTTCATCTATAAACTATAATTTGTACTATAATTTGGGTGAGTTCCTTAATTTCCCTTTTCCTTCGATAACTGCAGTGTGGCTAAAAAATACATCAAGTAACGTTCAACCATGGTGGTTTTATTTAGCAAAAAAAAAAAAAAGCCCTCATCATCAATCAACATTTCAATCAATCAATCAATCAATCAATCAACTAATATCACGGAACTGTGGGCTTAAACCCCCACAGTCGTAATATACTATCAGATAATTAATTCGTCTTTAAAAGTAATAAATCAACGGAAGACGCTATTCTTGAAGTTACCGATTATATCATACTAGCTTTCCGCCCGCGGCTCCGCCCGCTGCTTCGCCCGCGTAGACTATAGGTTATCGTGCGATTAAAGATCCGTGCTCTGTAGTGTAATGTTATAAAGTCTATACCTTTTTCTTGAGTCACTCTATCTATTCTGTCTATTAAGAAAAAACTTATCAAAATCCGCGTAGTTTTTAATATCAAAACATACATAAGTAGGGACAGACAACGGGAAGCGAAATTGTTTTATATTTAATAGGGGCCTGTTATTTATTTTATTTTTATTTATTAAAACTTTAAAGCACAAATGCATAAATAAATGTGCACATAGCGGACAAAGCGGATTAACACCTTGAGGCATTTTCTCCCAGTTAACCATTGGGCAAACAGAGATTCATGTGGGCGGTGAATTAACATAATTTGAAAATCAAATCCTAAAAAAAATATAAAAGAAGGTAACTTTAATATGATTACATATAAATACATATGCGAACATACTTATATATTAATAAATAATTACACATCTATACATATAAATAAAATTGGAGTGTCCGTTTGTAATATTGAAATAACCGTTTTCTAGTACATGCATATGAATATAAATGTGGTTGAAGACGTCCGCGCCGCGATATTCAGACAGCCCAAAAACCTCGAAATGAAACACCACATACGAGGGAAAGAGTATAATGATATCAAAAAATGGTGTTACAAAATACTGAATAATAAAATTTTACAATTGTGTATATCAATCAATGAAAACGAAATAATATCGAGTTTCAGAAATCTAACAGCGCCATCTAGTATTCATTTCGGAACTAAATTACGTAAACAACATTTGCATTCTACAGATAATCATTGTGAGATATATAACTTATTTGCTACATTATTTTTATACTAACAGTACTATTTAATTATACAGATACTATATTTATAATTAATACATACTAGATATAGTGGCGCCCTCAACATTCCGCCCACCAAGAACATGCTGTTCTTCCAACAACCGCCCACCGTGCAATGTATATCTAAATTTAAATGAATATCTTTATGAAACATAAGGGTCTATTGGAAGGCGACATATCTTGATGAGTGGACGCTTAATTACAGAATTTCTACATCTTAAACTAACAACACGAATCAAACCGTCGTCTCCTGGATGTACATCAATGATTCTGGCAAGGGACCACTTCCCGGGTGGTAAATTTTCGTCCTTTACAATAACGAGATCTCCTATTTTAATATCGTTATTGTGTCTTTTTGTCCATTTCGGTCTCTGTTGAAGTCTGCTCAAATATTCGCGAGTCCATCTGTCCCAAAAATGTTGTACCATTCTCTGTACTAACTGCCAACGATTTAAACGGTTTATATTATCTGTGATGTACGATCTTTCCGGAACTATAATAGGTGGTACTCCTATCAAAAAATGACCAGGTGTTAGAGGTTGTAAATCATTAATATCATCACTAATTGGCGAAATGGGTCGA